AAGAAGGCACGCAGGGATTTGTTTTTATATAGGCAATGGATTTCTGGTGTTCATGCTTTGGCTGCGAGACTCCAGCCAGGAGCGGCGAAAATTGGAGCATCAAAGCGTGGCTTCTACCTCTGTGTACCCGTAAGAACACTACGAAGCTTACTTCGCCTTGCATCTTATGACTGCAGTCTCGTTCCTGGATGCGCTGGGGTTCCCTGTTCCTTTGAAGGATCTGCTTATGGTAATACATTCTGTATAATGGCTGACCACGACAATAACAACGCCTCTAGGGCGCTTAGGACTCTACCATTGCGTGCTCTGCCCGATTCTGAAAATCGCTAATTCCTAACAACCAATGCTGGTGACGTCTCGGTAATGCTACTCTCCTTCAAAAACAGCCGGTCCTCCATACCCTTAAATTAATGCTCGTTTTCCTCGCTTCATCAAAACCGGGCAGCGCTATCTACGGCGCGAAAAGGAATTCTGTGAGCTTCACTTTACTGCCAAGACCGATCATCAGCCCATAATGCACCTCAGAAATAATTTCAAGCTTTTAAAATCCAAAATTTGGTTGTTATAGTGGGCGTTTCCCGCAGTACTACGTCTGAGTAATGCATTTCAGTGGTGCACTGCACCTGGTTCAATGCACTAGATGCAACTCCATGCTGTTGCTGTGTAGAGATCATTAAACGCATAGGCACTCTATATCACTGAAAACTGAGGATCCATTTTTTCTAGAGATCAGTATTCGAACTTGAAGACCTTAAAGACCCAGTATAATGACCCTCAGGCTTATTCCGTATCTCTTGAAGCCATTCCCTCAACCCCACTAGAACGGTGAATTCGTGTCGGACTTACATCCAAGGTTTGTTATATATTCGTTTGAGCCAATTATGTTTTTTTGTATGGCACTTGGCAAATATAGGCTATTAGGTTTCACGTTCAAATCTTTACTGAGAAGCATTCTAATCCAGGGCTGTGAGCTACAAAAGTTTTCATATGAAAGGCTGCCGACGCGCTCTCCCGACGCCTTAGTGATTCACTATTGCGCAGCCCAACCCCCCTTGTCTGTGATACCTCATTGTTCCTAACTAACGTACGAATGTCCTATGTTTTTAGCACCTATGCAGCCGCTTCTGTCTCCAAAATACAGAATACCAAAAGGGTGAAGCAAGTCACGCTGAGGATGACATAGTGTGGTTTAAGACGTTGGGGGTTTCGTCGCTTGTACATTCCAACTAGGATCCACACTGCACTTCAGCACAAAGTAGCAATCACGCTTTTACGAGCTGTAATGGAATTTAGACTACTAATAAAGTTCTCATGGTTTTTTGGTGGCCTGGTGTGTGTCCCGCGACGGAGTATACATCATAAAGTCTAGATGGTCAGCAGCTGAGGCCATTCAGTTGTTATACGCCGGGTCTTTTGCAAAGCGCTCCGAGTTTTAATAGGATGTAAGGTCATCAGACTCTGGGCTTCACTGCCGAATTTCTCGAAACAAGAAGTCAGGATAGCACGGACGTCGTTGTTGACAGACTTGGCAAAAACACCCCTTTCATCCCCTGCTCCAGCCCTAACACGCATTCTTAAATCGTGTGAACGGAGCTTCACGGACTGCCTAGAAGCTCACCAAGGATGGAGATCAAAAGTTTGTTCGTGTGTTCTGGCGTACCTTGCTGACTCGCTTACACATTGACTATAAAATATGACCACTGAGAAAAATCCTGAGGCAGACGGCCAGAAAGAGTGCACAAACTGCGCTTTGCTCACACAAGCACAGTATCTTGGCTAGAGACCTTTCCCTGTGTTTCTCTGTGTGTTATTTGGGGTTCTTGTGCATCACTACTCCTCTATTCGTTGCGCTCACGTAGCCCTGGTATACACTGGACAGCCCGACTCCGATCGACGCCTGCACTTAGTAATCCGGGATCAGCAACAACACTCTGCCGCAGGAAGATGTAGACAATAGCTGGCTAGTGCTAGCAGAAGAATGCACACAGCTAAAGAGAGACCAGCATGGAACTATGATAAGCAACGGTCTGCTGTGTGTGTCGAGGCTGGAAATTTGGTCCTGATGGATCTGCAGGCTCTACGAAACGAAAAGCAAGTAGAAGAAGCTAGCCACGGTGTGCAGGACGTTTTGCTGTCTTCTCATAAATCAATCCTCTTTCTTACGCTCCAGATTGAGACCAACGCTAGAGGTGCCACCGAGCTCTCGAAATTGGCTTTCGGGAGACGTTTGAAAGCTCCCCAAGGTCTTAGCGAGCTCCGCCCATCAGCCAAACGACTAGTGTGGAAGCAGAGAGTTCATTAAAAGCAGTGTAATGCTGGATTGTTGGAGTAGTAAGAGCCGAGGGCACACTAGCCAGGAGCCTCTGCTGGAAGGAGATGGAGAAAGCCAATATCAGCGGTTGACGGAGGAGCAGTTGCAGATTTTGTTGCCCGTGGCGCTTCCGTGGTTCTGTTTGAGTAGCAACGCTAGTGTCCATGAAAGTTACTCCTCGTGCTTTCTTATTGTTGTTTTCTGGCACACGTTTTCTGCCTGAAATAGCTACCTTAAACTAGCGGTATCCCTGAAATTTTCCAGCCTTATTTTGCGAAAGCTGTTCTTTGTACTCAGCTTTGTGCTCAGGCACTTACATGCATTCTGTCTCTATATTCCCCTGCATGCTTCTTTGGTTTCCGAAATTGACTGCTACACGCGCCGGTTGTAAGTTCATGTTCAAGTTGCTCTGAGGCGCGGAGGTGTTGCAACAAGTAGTGCGTATTTCGACCTCCTTTACACGTAATACTTGTCCTGATTGTTATGAGATAAAGAATCTTAATTGAATGCAGCGTGTTAACAACAGCGGGGCCCTGTGCTCCCGCAATCGTACTGGCCTAGTGCGTAATTTGCTAGTGGCTAAAGCTTGCATCGACTCCCCTCTACATCTCTCTAATGGGTAGCGTTCATTTTTTGCTTCTTACTTAAAGGGTTTCCAGCGTGTCCACCGTCCTGAAGAGTGGGAATAGGATGAGAAACCTTGTATCACCTCATGGCTAGCTGGTCTCGGCTGCATTCTTGCCCATCTACAAGGCAAGCAATGGGGATACACTAAAGCATTGGGATCCTGCAGCTAAAGCTATTCCGGAAGTAAGTACGTTACCCTGTCGTTTTAGGTTTCCACAGCTGAAGTTTCACATTGATTCTTGAAACTTCCGAAACACATGGTTTGCATACAGTTTTAGGAGGTCTCAATAATAATAACCCACAACTTCGCTGACGGCCAGTCGAATATGAATTTCTTTGCTTTATGTATATATATATCATAGTGGTGTTATGAAGCCTATGAAGCAGCGCATCGTTGTAGAGTGGGCTTTAGTCTGGGGCTTAGAGGAGACCTTCCCCTGCAGCTCTTGCATGCAAAAGCGAGGCTAGAAAAATACAGCTTCTTGTCTGGTCAAATTTTTAGCCTCCACATCATTGACGCCAAAATACTAGTTACTTGAATTTCTAGGCCTGCGTCATTTGCGTTAGATCTCGGGGGCCATTCGTACGGGTGATATATACCTGGCTTCGTGGCATCACAGCTGCGAATTGTGGAGTCATTTGGAGTTATTTCAGCGGTTGCTCAGGGCTAATTGGAACAGCTCAACAACAGTGGGCTCCACACTTTGTCCGCGATGCCGCGGCGGAAGAAGGAAGACAAACAGCAAGATGATGAAGCAGAGAGGGACTCCAAAGCACAGGGGCCCCTCGAGGGGGAGGGTCCCCAAGAAGGGGTTCCCACAGGAGCCAGTGGTCTACTCAGCGATTCGGGGGGCAAAAAAGGAAAATACAGAAAGGACAAACCTTGGGACACAGACGATGTAGAACACTGGAAGATAGAACCCTTCCTTCCGGTAAGGCGAAAATGGGGCAAAAACAACCTCAACTCTAATGGCAGCCATCAGAAGATATTTACCTTTTAAGATGTTTTAGATTCATGCTTCGAGGGCTGTCAGAAGAGAAAAGTGGCTTATATGCCGAACTGCACAGTAGACTGGACCCCGGAAACGAGCAGGATGGGACTAACACTGCGGACGGGAGGTCTAAGGGGAACATGGGAAATCTGTCTTCTGAAAAGGTCGCCGGTCTGGTGCTACATAAGCAGAGACGGGAGGGCATGGCTTCACAAGTCCAGCATGGAGGAGCCTTGACATGCCCCATATGACAGTGGTTGCTATATCAGCTCCCAGACATTCTTCTTGTTCTTCACGTTTGTACTTGACCAGCTCTACGGCCACCAGAGACTAGCTCCTTTTTCGTTTCGATTGATATTAGTGTTTGCGTGTGTTTATATATGGGTCGTTTTCCAGGAGCATAACCCTTTGGGAATGACTGAGGAGTCGTCTTTTGCAACTCTGTTTCCCCGCTATAGAGAGAAATACCTGAAGGACATGTGGCCTGAAATCAAGAAAGAGCTTGCAATGCACTTTGTTAAAGCTGAGCTGGATCTTGCTGAAGGCTCTATGACAGTCCGCACCACAAATAAAACATACGACCCGTACATCATCTTGAAGGTACACCCCTGTCATCTTGCTCCTTGTTCTCCGTTGCCTTCTGACTGCAACGGCACGGCTCTCTGAGGATGCTTCTATGAAACCTCTTGTACACTGTGAAACCTCCTCAGTAGCCAATGAAGGATATGCACGTAAGCAGAATGTGCTCCTCACGGTAAGCTTCTTATGTATAACACACTGGAGTGTTTGTAGACCTCGGGGCAACAGATGGCTGTATGCATTACTCACAGGCAAGAGATATGATAAAGTTATTGGCGCGCTGCGTTCCGTTGCAGCAGGCGAAAAAGATTCTTGAAGGTACAGCGGCAGGCCGCTTCGACTCCTTCTATCTCCCTTTTTCGCAGAGATTGTTATAATCTTGGTTCTTCTTACTGATGCTGCAGTCCGTTAGACAGGCAGCATGAGCTTCTGGCATAGCGAACTGTAACGCTGCGCTTCTCCTGTACTGTAGATTTTTTTCCTCAGACGAGATGATGTGCGATATCATAAAGATAGGAGGGATGGTCCGCAACAAGGTGAATAAGGCATTACATTGCCCTGGGGATCGATACATGGATAACAGCAGTGCCACGTCTTATTATTCGGCTGTATCGCAATCAATGTGCTATGTAGCAGTTTTCCTTCGCTTGCACCTGTCAAAATCAATTGTGCTTTATTCCATGAATGCCTCTCTCTACTTGTGGCAATAGCATTCTTATGGTTTTACATGCACTTAGATCCAGATGTTCGAAATTGAGCTACTAGGGAAAGGCACGCAATTCAACATACGATACCTTGCTTTCCGAATACGGGGGTCCGGTTTTCTATTTTCGTGTACTGCGTGTCAACTTAGGGTATGCCTGCATTTTATTGTGGTCGTTTTGGTTGGTTCCTGTGCTCGGATCAGGAGAAGTTTGTAAAACGCCGTCAGCGTCTTGTGGGGCCGAACGGAAGTACCTTGAAGGCTTTGGAGTTGCTGACAGAATGTTATATTTTAGTGCAAGGGCAAACTGTGGCTGTTATGGGCCACCTCAAGGGTTTAAAACAGGCAAGCTTCCCTTATTTTCATTGCACAGGCGGCATTTATAATTGACCGTTGTGAAATACACAAAGCATCAATTACGTAATTCTTTAAAGATAGGGATTGGTGGGGTATTAGGTCGAAGTAGACGATTGAAGTGCTGGCTCCGTTCCAAAGTATTCTTTTGGTGGCTGTGCACTAAGTTCAGTCATTATAGGAGTGTGCACGAGGTCATTACGCTGAGTTCATGTGTAACTTCATAGATCGAATGCAGCTGGTGTAAGGGGTAAATTCTTAATAGAGGGCTATCTACTGGAGATCAAGTTGCATTGAGTAGTATTTAGTCATAACACACACATGAGCGTTTACTTTGTAGTAACGGGCTTAACAATTTATATTAGTCCTTCTACAGGCTAGCTGCATCCATTGCCTTTGAGATGCCAATGACGTTCACCAAACTGAATAACAAGCCCGCCAGCGGAATCCGTCCGCCAGAGTTGAGTCACTAGAGCAGGCACATGACCCTACGGTTGTATGAACATTATCTGTTATTCGATAGGCGAGGCGCATCGTGGAGGACTGCATGAAGAACGTCCACCCTGTGTACCACGTGAAGGAACTGATGATCCGCCGCGAGTTGGGCAAGGACGAGTCTCTCAAAGCAGTTCGTCTTCTGTGTTGCTGCCTCCTCTTTCAGTACCTCATATCCTTCTGGATTCTTCATTACCTCTTTCAGTTGTCCGCTATCCGTTGTTTTCGCTTCCGCATATCAAGAGCCTTTTGGGGGACCAGGCTGATGCAGCTTCTGCAGTGCATGTACGGTGTGGGTTTGCAGGAGAACTGGGACAGGTTCCTCCCTCAGTTCAAAAAGCGCAACATTCAGAGAAAGAAGATAAAGGAGAAAAAACCCAAGAAGGAGAAGAGCCTATTCCCCCCGCCACAGACACCGCGCAAAGAAGACTTGCTGATGGAATCCGGAGAGTACTTCATTGATGCAGAAGAGAAGAAGGTACTTCGCCTGCCGTTATTCGTGCTCCTACTGCGTTTTGTACGTCGGGCGCAAGCGAATGCCCTCCCGCCGGACGCGGAATCTTCAATCTACTGTGGATTCTGAGTTCTATGGCTGCTGAGGCGCTTAGTGTGTATTAGTGCCATTGTTTTTTGTAATCTTTTCTGCGATCCCGCGGGTTGTCAAAACACATGCAGTTAGAGTGTCCGGTTAAAACCATATATCAGCACAGTTGTCTTCGCATTCGTTTATATCGGATTTGTTGTAAACCCGGTTACGCTGGAATGGACGCGACTACGGCTGAATGCCAGGTTTTGGTTCCTAGTCAGATATGTTTGCAGAGACGCAAAATGGAAGAGCTACCGGAAAAGCAGAAGCAAAAAACTGCTGAAAAACGGAAGAACCGCGCACAGGAATTCGTTCCAACTGCAGAGGACACGGTATGCTGCTCTATGTGCTGACTGTTTGGGCCCGGAGCTTCTTGTTTCAGAGCTACTCGGTGCACATCATACAGTCATCTGCCTCTGTGTAGACTAATGGAGTCACTGGAAATGATAAACTAGAAGCTCTTTGGATCTTGGGTGTTCTTTTTCGACGACTTGTGGCTGCCTCAGACAGCGAAGCGACATAAGCGTCTTGAGGAGAAGCAAGCAAAGATACGCGAGGAGCAACTCCGCATTCCAGTAAGGCTAGGGAAAACACCTGGAACTTGAGTTATCAAGGAACAACCCTGCCTAGAGACTAGAGCGGCAGCAGTGGGTGGGCACCCTGATCGATTGTCTAGCAGAGGGCTCTTGTTTTCCTGAGGTGTTCTGATCATACAGGATGCAGCAGACGTGGTTGAAAAGGTCAAGGCAACGCAGAAGGAGGGGCAATCCAAGCTGAGAAGTGCGTTTGCAGGTTTAGGTCTCGGCATTATTGACCATTTCTCCCTTCTGCGATACTTCCTCTTGTTATTGCGGCAATTCGCAGGGACTTATCAGTGCTAATTTGTCCAATGTGGGAAAATGTTTGATGTGATGTGATCGTTTTGCATCAGGCAGGCAGGTCGATGCCTCTTCCTTCTTATTATAATAATCCCCCTTCCATGCACTACCCCAGAAGACCGGCAAAGCGGCTTTTGCCAATGCCATGCGAGTTTTACTGTGATGCGAATCATTTGCCACTGAGAAGCTTACAAAGAGAAAACGAAGAGGAAGAAGGCCTTTGTATGCTCGTTTATTGATCTTATTTGCAACGTGGTAACTCGTTGGACCAAAAAATAGCCGGCGGCATATTCGGTGTTAGCGGGGTTTTTCAGTGTAGGGGGTTGGAACAGACAAAACGGCTGTTTCACCAGGCAGCAAATCAGACTCTTTTGAGTAATAGGCCCATGCTACTCGGTACATAAGTACGCATCGACATCAGCATGCATATAGGCATGCGCCTGTAAAGTCGGTAGGAAGGAGGCGAGCCCAGGAAGAATATTAAAATCATTACGCTGTGAATGTATTATGGTAGCGCAGTACACTTGGACAAACAGGTATAGTGTTAACTTACTGGTAACTTGGGCTGCGTGTAGTGGAGAGTCTTACTAAATTACTGGTGGGCGCGCTTTCGCACTGCGCAAACCTTTCCCAAGCACGGCTAGTTTTGGCGTTCATACCTTCCTTGCCTGCCCTTTTCCTCACTTAAAATAAAAAAGTGCCACGCAAGCTGCCCATTTCAGCTGCGAATGCATTGAAGTGGACTTATCGCGTTGGAACGAATGCGAGACCTAGCTATACTGCCACAGACAGTACCCATATGCACAATCCGAATGGCACGGGCTGCAGTCGCTGTCCCTTACTACGTAGGCGTAGTCAGCGAATCAGATGACTATTCTGACTCATCGAAGGCAAAATAAAGATGCCCAATATCAATGCCTGCGGTGAGCAGTGCTTCACGCACCCACTGAGGCGGCCGTGGCTTTAACCCCGTATCCAAAATGTCCCTGGTGCCTTCAAAAGCGCTGCAGCAAATACCGTTGTTGGTGGAGGCCCGCAAGGCAGCACCTGCATCGTGATCCGGTGCCACAGGAGTGCTTGTGCGCGCATCTTGCAGCTGAGCCGCGGAAAGAGATAGTCGTCTTCGCTTCAAAGGTGGCTGCGTACCACTCATTCCCCCGTCTGCCATGATCGTCTGCCTCGGATAGAGTCTTTCCAAAAATCCACAGACGAACTCATGAAAACGGTGCTCTTTGATGCTTTGTCGCATCTCCGAACAGAGATGTTTCAAATAGAACAAATTATGAAGCGTCAAGAGCTGCCCGACCATTGGGCTCTGCAGCGAACAGGAATACGATGGAAGGCGAACGCGAAAGGTCCATGCAACAAAAAAGTACCCAGGAGAGAGAATCTTGCGGTTGCGGCCTGCGCGTAGCTTCCACGAGCCATTAATTCTGGATGAGCATGCTTTGGTGACGTCAGCTCCGCTGCGGAGCAGATGAAAACTGTCAAGGTGGCTTACTCTGTTAAAGGTCGAATGCAGAAAGGCTCGGGAGTAAGAACGGCAGGTATAACAATCGCATTCCGGATCGAGGGGCCTGAGATCTAGTGCATATTTATGTTGCTTTATGCGGATGCTGCCCCAGCGCGTCATGGCCGTACCGAAACGCGCAGTGCGGCATGGAAAGACGCAATCAAACATATCGCACCCAAGAGCCACACATACCACCAGGTCCAACGCGTAGCCTACTCCCATCAGGTAGCGTGGCTTCCTCTTTGGCAGTCCTTTGTCTTCTCTCGTGCACTGCGGCAATGAGCGCATGGTTGTATACAACCAATAGCAAGGAGGAGTGCATGTCATATTTGGACGAAGTGATTATGTGTAAATATAGCAGCGATTATCACAAAAATCACCGTTACAGCCTTAGGACCTTTGACTTTGGTTGAGGGTGAGCCGATGACCTAAATCTGAGAGCATCATTGCTGCCCTCGAGAGAATGAATGAAGGCCTCAAATTCTTACCACGTCAACAACCCTCCAGAAGTCTGCCTTCCGTTCTCCACCCGAGAGGCCCCCAATGGCGCATCCATGGCACCGCCTCTTCTTAAACAACTGCAGAGCCCTCTCTCTAAGTTTCAGATCCAAGCCTCCCTGAACAATTCCAAACAGTGCCTGCCGACCAGGAGCGCCGTGGGCCACTATGCACCTGTCCAGCCATCTGAACCAAGGCAGAGAGAATCACACAAAAGTAGATGGTGAATAGCAGACATTCAGCTTATACATGCATTGTCTTAAATCCCCAAGTGTAAGTGCATGAAACCACCGGGAAGTCCAAGAACCAAAGTACTCAAAATCCGTATAGGGCTCTAACTCCCCCTATGAATTCAAATATTATTACGTAGTAAGGGCAGCCTGGTTTACTCTAGGACAGGAAAAGTAACGGGGCATCAAAAAACGTAGTATTGCCCCCCAATTCGTAATCAAAGCAGAACCAAGTGTCGCGCGGGGGCACTAATACCCCAAGGAAGGGAGCGCTCTTGCCTGATAGAACGGAGCATTGCGGCTTCCACGCGCTGAGGATCTGGGGTTGTGGAGGAGATGACATCATCAAGCTGCATTATAATGTCACTGCCGATCTGATTCTGCAGAAGCACCATAAATCAAAGAGAAATCGCAGGGCTCAAGAGGACATACAGAGAGAAGGTAAAAAGAGACGACAACGATGAATTCGATCAGACCACAGCCTGATCCATGTATAGTAAAACGCGTCCATCGAGAGGAATAGAACAGTGAGTGACAGCGAATTTTGAAAATGGCCTTACAATAAAGAGGCCTTCGACCACGCGGGATTAAAAACGCGTACACAGCCCTTCATTTGAGTTGTCAATAACTACTTAAAGAGATGACGAACAAGATCAAAGACCACCAGGTCATCCAGTATCAGGCTGCGTTGTCTGTTTGAAGCGCAAAAAGCTATTCCCTAGTACTGATTGCTGCAAACCATGAGACCATCCATGAGGTGTTCCTTGAACCGACAACTGACCTGCATCGCTACAGATTCCTCTGGGGTGAGGAGCACAACCTCGTCTGAATCTGTGTCTACCCTAGGCTCCGCAGTCTCTGTATCAGCTGTTTCGGTGTTGGCATTCCGTTGTTGTTGCTGCTGTCTCGCTTGTTTGCGTTTGGCCGGAAAGAATTTCTTCGAAAGTCCATGCTTTCCCAGGCGAAAGCAGACACCTTCTTCATACACGTCCATCAGCCGGCAGAGAGAAACCATTTGAAAGCCGCCGCTATCCGTAAGCAAATTAGCACCCCACCGCATAAAACGGTGCAGCCCCTTCCCGACTTCCCGCATGCGCCGGCCCCCAACTTGGCGGTACAGGTGGAATGTGTTTCCGAGGATCAAACGGCTAAACCACGTGGGTGGTTGCGGCAGGTCCTGCCCCTTGCCTTTCTTCTTTGACGGAACTGAATCATTAGTCCGTTCTGCAGCAGATGCTACCCCTGTGTCGGGAGAGGGGGCTCCTTCCACGGTGCTTGCTGTTCGTTCTCGATCGATACATTGCAGAAGTCCTAAGTGAATACCTTTGATTGCCCCATTGGTACCCACTGGCATAAAGACAGGCGTTTCAACATTACCGTGAGGCAAGCACAGAAGACCAGCGCGCGCCCTGCCATGTTCTGCCTCTACATGAAAGGCTAGGGGCCCCGGTCGCGGCCACTTAGATGCAATTTCCATTGCTGCTGCCTCTAGTTCCAGTGCTGCTGCTCGCTCCTGTGGGGTGGCTGCAGCTCTCACAGCAGGGCTTCCCTCAGTCTCTCGTGTCTCCGTAGAAGCACATCTGCTCGAAAGCTGCTGCGTATCTGTAGTCTCCGCAGTTTGCTGTTGGACGCCGGATCGAGAAGCCTTTGGTGCCTCATGATCAAAGGAGGTTACTTCAAGCGATCCAGTATCGCCTGGAGAGCTAGGATGCACCGCAGGGACCTCCACCAGAAGTGGGTTCCTCTCCGGGGTTGCCATAGCCGAAGAACCACGATTCCCCCAAAGATGTAGAGCCGAGAAATTCAGGTTCCAAAGAAGAGGCCATGCGGATTTTAGTTGAGCAATGCAATAGGCAAAGAATAATGGAAGGAAGTGGAAATTTATGGCATATTTGTACACTGCGTGAAGGCCTCGTGTGTACCCGTAACAACGGCCCCACAGCCAGGGGCCCCCCGCTGGAAGTAGTTGCCTCACATTGAGAATCCAGTAGTGGATGTCCCCTCCAGAAAATTATCAAGTTTCTTATTGTTTTATGAGAACTGCTATCAAATGTGTTCATTCTGCAGCTGTAAAACTACTTCGCCCGCACACCAGTTACCGATCATCTGCCGGCTTCAGGCGTCGCCGAGTGCTGGGCGAAAAGACAGCAGCTGGTCAGGAAGACGCTCGCAATGTGGTTATTGCAAGGGTAAAACAGTAGACTGTGGGTGTAATAACGAATAGGTACTCCAGTTAGAAAACATATACCGGAGCGAGAACTCAATGAGTCTCACGGAGGACCGCACGGAACATGACAGCTGCGAGGCCGTACACGATACACGCATCGTGGCCGATGTATCTACAGGGCTCATATTTCACCATGTTAAGAATACCACACCGAATTCTCCACACAGAACTTGGTCCCACCCTACATCTCTGGTATGCTATGTGAGCCGCACCCGAAACAGCGGTGTCAGCCTAATTAAGGAGCAGCCATAACTAGCAACACATTTACGAGTTCTCGACGAGGAATTAGGGGTGACTCAGCTGCAGGCAATCGTAGGGGTTTATAAGCCTACTTGGGGTAACCTGTGAGCCTTTTTTCATGAAAAGAAAAGAAGTCGCTGGCGCGGCGCTCCCCACCAGTAACCCCGAAAGGGCCGTTGCAGAGCATACCTTCGCTGCTTTAATGAGCATACATGGCAATAAGTTCCCCGATAAATTAAATTGCTTGTCGAGGGGCCCTGTTATCCAGGCAGAAAATGATCTATATATTCGTCATTCTCGAACGTCCTATTATAGGGCACGAAGGAACGAATGGAGAGAATAGGAGTTTGTTCTCTTTCTTGCAGCGCAGGACTTAACAGGGTTCGACATCAACTTGTCCTTGTCCTGAGTCATATATATATATATATGCACATGAAAATATCGATTGAATAGCACCAGTTCTGGCTGATGGCGCGACCCGTTGCATTCTAGCTTACTGTATCATGGTTGTTGAATGTTAATACTTCGTCATATGTTGCCCAGCTTGTAGAGGAAACAGTGGAGGCATTCGAAGATTAAGTTTTAATCACTGCTGCGTGGACTTAACAAGATGCAGCATGCCTTGCTGGCTACAGCGAAGAGGCTCCACAGCATTTCCAAATCTCTAACCCCCATGCAGGGACGCTACCTTCCTATACGAAAGAAACTAGAGAAGCCCTGCCAGCTGACCTGTGTTGTATATTACTAAGTCCATACACCAGCTCTACCCAGGCAAGCTTTTGGAAGTGAGTCCTCGTGAGCGGGCTTAGTGGGCTGCGAAAGGCTCCTCTTTTTCCTGGTTGCTCCAAGTCGTCCGGGTAGGCACAACTGCTACTGGGAACAACCGGTTGTGTAATTGGGCGAGCAATCGTCTCCTGAATCGCATACATGTGTTATGCAAAGCCTAATCCTGATTGGAAACTAAAGAAGTGGTGGAATGTTTGTACACGTTGTATTTGAGGCATGGAAACTAGTAGCAGCCGCTTGTCGGAGAGTGACCGCACTGTTAAAGCAAATACTCTATCCTGGCAGGGAATACCATAGGCACGAAAGTGGTTATTATATACGGCCCATTGCACTTCGCTCGCAGCTCTGTGTGCCGAGCTGCGTCATCCCCAGATGCGGTCCAATCCAGCTCGGGGTCAGCTAGGTGCTGCGGTAGTCCCTGCATGCCGGCCTGTGCAACGCTTCTTTACCACTTACCAGCCTCTTCTAGGCAACCCGGTGTGCGTTTCCACAACTTGCGTTTGCTTGAGCAACCCTCCAGACACAATGAGAATGGTTTGCTGTGATATCAGCAAACGAGTATAAGAAAGGGCAGTCACTTCCCATAGGCAAACAAAGATGCTTCCACGGGGCGCGAATTTTTTGATTGGGAAAAAGTAACACACGGCACGGTGAGACGGCCAGAACTCGCATCACTGCTAAGCTAACACTGCGACTAGCGTAAGTCACAACCAAAGACTTGCTGCGAAGCTTCTTAAAATATATCGTTACCGTGCACTACAAAACTTTGAATAAGGGCTTCGCAGATTGCGGCATTTCGGGAGTGCTCTCTGCCAGTTTGAGCCCGAGGCGATTTCTGCCCTTCCACATTGCTACTAAGCGGCGTGCCTCAACCTCTCTGGATGGGCACATCGTCGCTAAAATTTATCACTAACAGTACGTGTTTAGCCGACTGAACGGCAGCGAAACCGGATGTAGCAGCAAGCACCTGTTGCTACCACTGCAAATCGTGTTGCTCGGGGAAGCTACAGAACAAATCGCACATTGCTTCCCTCCACAGTTGTACCGTGAAACAATTCGTACGAAAGCTCTACGCACACCATAAAAGAAACCTTCCGATGCCTGAAACTGGCAAACGATGTCAGAAACGCAAGCAAAAGGAAATGAACTCATGGTAGAGACCAGCAACACAGCCAGCAATAGACGGGTACTACGCTACGTCGGGCTTATCGCGTCGCAATCGATACAGTCGGCGATGCCTGTTCGGCTGCCATACATGTTAGTGCTATCTTCAAATACGCTGTCAGAAGGAAAAGATGACGTAGTTCATCAGGATGAAGCCAAGCAGCAAAAATAGGCACGAGTATAGACGCTGGAGGTCCTCCTCTGTATGCCAAAGAAAAACAGCACCGCACAACACAAATGACAATAAGCGACAGCAGGACCTACACAAGCAGCACCATTGAGCCGTAGCAACGCCAGGAAAAGCAGCAGAAAGGGCCGCATAAACTTACGATTCCAAGGCCTGGGGTGCTGCTCTGTAAACGGATTGCGGACGCCAAATGTAGCATCCCCGCCGGAAAAGGAGAAACCGACATTGAATGGAAAGATTCCAAACGAAAGAGAAACGCCCTGAGGTAGGAAGCGGTTCTGCGAACACACAAAGCCACTGGCCGGAAATGACTACATCGAAGCAGGTTCTAGAATCGTGGTGAAATAACAACCAGATCAAACAATCCAAGCGAGTTGAGAAATGTTGATGCAGTGAGATACTTCGAACGCTAGAGACCACGGAATCCAGTGGAAATATATGTAGCCATGAGTAATCAAAAGCACCAGAGGTGGAACCCCTTGCAATAACACACATAAATCACGCAGAATAATGAAGTGCCTTTCATCGTTGTACTACAGAAGCAGCTCCTCACCCGACGTGTGGGGGACACCTCCGGTCGCTCAGCGCGGGGTCTCTTTGGCGCCGTTCCAGCGTCCCTGATGTGCATCCATTCGACAAAAAAAAGAATAATCACGAATCAGCCAACGGGCCGATCCTCAGCACATTCGAATGCAGCAGCAAAGATGAAAACGATGGATGTGTTACTAGCATCGGTGTAAAAACGGATCACAAGCTCTCGTAGCAGCCCACATGTGTCTGGAGTGAGCATGGGCTTTGGGGTTTGAGTGCCGGCCATAAACTGGAATAACATTGTCCGCAGATACTCCCGCTTTACAAAGAGGACACTCGTCCGATTGTTGCAGCCAAACGTGTAGACATCCCCAGCAAAACTGCAATGCCAGCACACATACAAAGGACACCAATATGCACTACACGTGCAAATCAGGCAGCACCGGATAAAAGTTTTCTTTTTATTGTGCCTCATCTTGCTACCGCCGTTGCTAATCCTGCTAAAATCGTACACGAAAAGCTGGAAGTCTACATGTGGATCCTGTGTCAAACAGCGAAAGCTGAAGCATGCTTTGAAGAAACAAACAGCGGAGAGAGTACAGTGCTGATACGCTTAAAACAGCAAGGTGGCGATGGAAAGCGACAATCGCAGCAACAACAAGAAAGCCTTACCAGGTGACCGCAACGCGTAACTACGGGGTCTGTGACATCGTCCATACAAATGCTACACTCAAATGGCGATGCTCCATCTCTCCGGTTGCCACTGCTCCTGTTTCCATTGTTGTTAGCACTGCTGCTGCTGGCTGTTGCTCCTGCAGCAAAGGCTGACGTGCTGCTGCTGGCGCTTTGCGAGTCCTGACCAGCGACATATCTGCTGCCGGAGTTGCTGCTGTTTCTGTTACTTTTGCCAGGAATAAAGCTATAAGCTGTTGCCCGAGGCTTAAAGTTGTTGTTTGTGTTAATGGTTACGGCCTCCATCGGCGCTGCAGGTTCTGAGCTTGAACCAGTACTTGTTCTATCTTCTGGGGAAAAGAACCTGTGGTCGTCCCTTCTAATATCAGTGCTACTGGAGTTGAAAATGCTGGGTTCCGGGCAGTCACAGCTGCTACTACCATCATTCGGTGGCGAAGATCCTGAATGACCAGCTACAAGACTCCTAGAAGTGTCCTCTCGGTTGCTGTCTTCGTCATCTTTGAGTACAGTATGGTGCCCCCTAGTACCAGCATGCTCAGCCGGGGTATCTACACCACAGTTCTTGCTGCTTTCCTTGCCTTCTTCGCTGCTCTTGTCAACACCCATCACCTCCTTCCTGTTGCAATCGCCGTTATTGTTGCGGCTGTAGTTTGTGCAAAGTGTAGAGCTTGGACCCCTGTCCCCCGTTCCTTCCGCAGAACTGTCACTGCTATTGTGGACTACAGGGATGCTGTCTGCGTCGATAGATAAATCTGCTGCAGCCGCCTCTATATCTGCTGTGGCACCATCGTTATTGATGCCGCTGCTTCTAGTGTTGCTGCTGCAGTCCTCACTGCTGGCGCCGGTGTGGGCCTTGTCTTCTATACGGCACTCAGAGGGCTCTCGCTTGTTAGCGTTCCAGGTGTTAGTGCTGCTAACAGAGCTGCCACTAACGCTGTTGGAATCACTGCTGTTGAGGCACAAAGTAGCATTGTTGCTGCAGATGCCAGATGCTGCATCAACGGCAGCAGCTTCTGATTCGGATTCAGTTGGCATCAGCCCGTCTCCTTAGCAGCTCGACAGCGGTTGATTCTGTTACACGTATAGTGCAGCTGATGGAAGGATGTACTCCGCTTGATGCTTCATGAGAAACAAGTCAGTGGGCGGGGAGCTGCCTGTAGCTTTCCCTTTGCCGCAGATGCCGCGAAAAGCACTTTCTCAGTACTTCTGCCGCTCCAAGACAAATTGTTTCTATTGCATCTCAGCCTGCGCCCTCATGAATGCCCCGTTCGGCCAGTTGCAGCAACAACAAGGAGAAAACCTCTTATGCCGATCTTACCAATTGCTACAAAATACACGTTACTCCGGATACTGTCGCTGCTTTGGTTTGCTTTCACCCAGGAGACTGAAGCTGGCTCCGGATGCCCCTCAGCACGACAGATTCGACCAGCTGAAGGCTCCTAGAGAGTCAGGAATATGAGCCAACCTTTACCCGGCGTCACGGCGGAGAAGCTACGGTCCCCGAACCCACGCTTCCTGCTACTGCCGTAGCTTCTGTTGCCGGTGTCTACCCAATACACAAATTATGAGGGACGAGTATGCCGGAACTGCAGCTGTGGAGGCTGCACTTTTTGCTGCAAGGGAGCCACTGCAGCCAAAATGTTACTGCGACTCTGGTGGACGGCAAAGACCTCGAGCAGAGTGCCCGCTACTCTGAAGACACAGAAGGAACAGTGATTACTGGGTAATTGCTGCCACATCAACAGGAATAATTTTGGTTGTATGCGCAACTGCGGTGCCAGCATCGGTAGTACCAGCACCTTCAGGGCCCCACGGTTGCAAGGGCGGAGGTGGCAGCCGAATCATCAGAAGCGGCTCTGATGCTTTTCCCTTGACAAAGCACCCCATAGCTGGATTATCCTTGGCTTTAGAAGGCAGAAGGATCCTCACGGCTGTGGCATTCGCTGCAGTGCCAACTGCGCCAGTGGGACTTTTGACAAGGCAGGTGGAGCCTCCACCCCAAAACATATACTCCGCCATGGCTTTGTGTTAGCCCTTTACCCTTTGCAGAGCTTGACGGACCCAGATGGGCAGCGTCAGTTACAGCAAATGAAAATGAAGGGTCCTTGCGAAGAGGCAGAGCGAGGCTGCTCCACGAGCAAACGAACCCTTACGGAACGTACATACGGCAACAAGCGCAGTACCATGCGCATTCGAAATAAAAGTCACAGAGACAGCACAGACACGGATGTGCAGCACACGAATTCCTCCTGTGTTTGCCCCTGCCTCCGGTGGCGCACCCAACCAGCAGTGTCTGCAGCAGACATGGCAGCAGCAGCAGAAGATGCGGTACGGGAAGTTTGTTCCATTGCCAAAAAGGACTCATGCCTCCATACGCACGAGGCCAAAAACGGCAGTGGCATCCGAGCATTTGCTGCCGAGCTGTCCCGCTTCAGAGGCGGCTTCAGGGCAAGCTGCTGGCGCTTGCCGCTGTACCTGCTAATGCTACGCTCCTGCTGTGTCACTCGACCGATGCTGCTGATACTTGCGTTTCTTAGATGCCGGCAGCGGCTCCAGCAGTTGACACGAAGTCGCAGGCTCTCCTTAAGCAGCTGGAAAGAGCATCCCTATAAGCAGCAGCGGCAGCAGTATGACCGAACTGCGGATTGCAAAGAGGAAAACGTTTTCAAGAGTGGCAGCGGCACCGATTCTTTCCACTTCAGCTGGTTGTGGCATCGAATAACCGGGGTTCTTCAACTCGCTTCACAGTACCGTTTGACGTATGGCAGGAGGCTTCCTGAGGCTTTGTTGCTTCTGGTGCTACTGCGGCCCACCTGTGAGGACGATGCTGAGGAGCGTCAGTGTGAAACAGAGCAGCAGCGGCGGCAGCAGCAGCAGTCGTGGACTTGGAATGCAGACGATCTTTTACAGGAAGATGCCGATACGATTGTTTGCCGCCTGCTACTGCTGCTGCTGGGTCGGCTTCCAGATGATGACTCTCCTCTGCGGCTTGCTGCTGCCGTGCAACAGCTGCATGCACAAGCACAACAGAGCCAGCAGCGAAATCAGCAGCAGCAGCCAGACAAAGCAGCAGGGGTACTGCCACTGCTGCCGTGGTGGGTTGAGGCACAGCTGTCAAGGGACAGTAACGAGCAGCACCAAGTCGAGAAAGACGTGGAGCGGTCATTCACTGCATGGCGCCTCATCAGTAGCAGCGGCAGCAGCAGTAACAGCAGTAGCGAGGATAGCGCCCACAGCAGCGGCAGTTTTCTTAGCGTGTCTGATGAGCCACTAGAGTCCTCAAACAGCATCAGAAGTTGCAGCAGCATTCCTAAAAGCACAGATTCCTCCAGCAGCAACGGAGAGAGGGTCACACAAGCTCCTGCAGGCTCCTCCAGCAGAATGTTGAGGTCCAACAGGAAGAGTAAAAGCATCCTTAGCAAGAAGGGTCTTCAATGCTTGCGGGGCAGCTTGCGACTTCTGCTGCTTGGTCTGCTCTCCCGCCACTTACCCACTCTTGCGTATGCACAGGGCATGCATGATATTGTCGCTGCGCTACTTCTCACTGCTGTTGATGCACTGCAGCAGTTGACCGCTGCAACTGAGGTATACAAGCTTCTCGCAGGACGCGGGATCTGTTGTGCGAGCCAGAAGGATGCAGCAGCCATAGACAGTTGCTACTGCTCCTGCACCGAATGTTGCTCTCGTGCAAACAGCAGTGGCAACAGAAGATGCGGGTCGTTGGCCGCTCTCCCGTGCGGCTCTCTGCTGCGCAGCTGCATGCATCTATGTTGTTTTGTGGGGGCGGAGGAAATTCTATCTCCGTTTTCTGGGCTCTCCCTGGTGTGCTGCCACCTTGCGTTTATCCTCTCTGAGAGGGTGTGCCTTTGCTGTGTTAGTGACTATCTCGCTGCTCCCTTTGAAGCTTCGCTCATGCCAGCAGTACGGCTGCTCTCGCTGCTGCTGCAGCAGCAAGACCCGCAGTTGTCAACCCTACTGCGCCTTTGTTCTGCTGCAGCTGCGAATACACCCGGAGCGGAAGTACTTCCATGCGTTTCGTGGCTTATTACTTGGTTCACTCACTCCACGAACCCCTTCAAGCTTACTGCCAGACTCTTAGATTCTCTGCTATGTGGCCACCCTCTAATGGTTTTGTACGTTGCTGCTGCCGCCGTTCGTTCCCAGCGCCGCCGTCTCTTTGCAGTCTTCCGATCTGCTCTTGCTGACTGCAGAGCAGCGCAGCCGCTGTTCCAGCAGCAGCAGCAGCAACAGCATTCTACGCTAATATGCGAGAATGGGGATGTGGCGGCGCTTTGTGAGAAGCTGCAACACAAGCCCGAGCTTATTGACCAATACAGAGATCAGATAGGAGATGCTGTGTATGGGGAAGTACACGCGGTGCTGCAGCGCGTACACTTGGGTAGACTATCTCTTGAGCGCTTGCTGGTGCAGGCCCATGATGCTCTTCTGCACGAGGTGACACCCGATCAGTTACTTGCTTACGCCGCGGCAGATGGGGTGCAGCTGCTTCCTTTTTCACCACTGCAGATGCCAGGTGCCCTCATGCCTAATGCTGCAGCCCCAGACAGCCGCGCATCCCCGTGCTGCTGCTGTGCTCGATTGTCATATAAGCCTGCCTTCTTTGACTTCGTAGGCCCCAGTATGCCGCCAGTAGTAGCTTCTTACACTACCCTTGCTGTTGGTGCCGCTAACGATGCAGCAGCTGCTGCATCGGAGCCAACGGTCAAACAGGCACTCCATGACACTGCAGCCTCGTGGGCTGCGGCTATCGGCGGTGCAGTTACCGCGCCCATCCGTGGGTCCTTGCCGTTTGCAGCAGAGGCCATCACAGCAGCATGTAACGATCGAAGTCCTTGCTGTTGCTACTCTGCGGAACGCTCTTTGGTTGGAGCAGCAATAACCCTGCAAAGCGATTCCTGTCCGGCGCTGTACAAGCATGTCCCCGTGCAGCCCGCGGGAAGCAAGGGTTGGAGGCAGCCACTGCCTTCTGTGTTTGTGCCTTTAGAACAGATGGTGGCTGTACAAAAACGAGAATTTGCCGCGTATTTGCCTGTGCGGCTGCTTCAGAATTTCGGGGAAACTGTGTTGCTGCAACGTATATGCAGGGCAGCGCTCGCCTTTGCAAGTCGCGCCACTGCTTGCCTTGCCTTATGCACGGGAGCAGTGGCCTGTCTGGCTCTGCTGCTGCAGTGGCTAGCGGAGAGGGCCTTGCGTGATTCTGGAAGCAATTGAGAAACTGCTACCGAGCAGATCGCGTCGCTGTAGCAGTGCTTTATGTCTCTGATGCCTTCAATTTGCTTGTATATTACACTCACCCGATCATGCGGAATAGTGCTTAAATGGATTACACGGATAGCTGTGACATTCTTAGACTTCCCACGTGAATTCAAATGAAGTAGACGCTTTGAATCTGCCGGTGCTACACACACTCAAGGGGAGACACTAAAAAAGCAGGCAGGATGAAAACATAAGAGAATTCTGATGCGTGTAGCAGCACTCGAAACAGGTATATTCTAATCGTCTAGATACGATACTGCACTGCGACGCACCTCCGTTTGCTTTTAGCCTTCGTTATTGTGCTTCACATAGTATGAAGGGTCGTAAACGAGGAGACATAGCAACAGCAAGCAAAATGCTGAAGACTACCTAGTTTGCTCTTATTTTCTTCAGCGAACACTGTACAGGGAGTAAACGCTGAAAGTTTTATAAGTACGGTATCAAAGAGAAATACGAATGAGGCTGGGTTCTTCAGCAATGTGCGGTAATAACACACAAAAAGGTCGTAGAGCTGCTGCAATCGGTGCAGTCTTGTGTCTCCCATGTCTCGCTTATTTCGCACCCTATGAGATGATCAAGTGCATCAAAGTAGAGACAGAACGTTGCACTCAGGCATTGACGCTCTGAACTCCTCTTCCGAGGTCCTGCTTTCTTTACTCTCGCGGGCTAGAAAACCTGCATGGCATAACATCCATCACAACATCCACATATCGAGAGGCATTAAGGCTTCCTTTGATGCCATCCAAAGCAAAGGCACTAGGAAGTTTCTTATCTGCTCATGAGGAGGCTAAATCCTGTGTTCTCAAATATGCACGACCAAACGTGTATGGGAGGAAATGGGCTTCCTGGGTCTGGGTGAGTCGTTGACCTACTTGAGCTTCTCTGTCATGAGTAAGCCGGCGGCGACTACGGTTTTCAGCATAGTCTACGCTTTCGTAGGATAAAGGCAATCGCGCACCCTTTAAGCTCCCTGGGCATTGACAGCTATTTGGACATGCAGCTGACGCACATGCACATTACATTGTGTCTGCTTTTGAAATGACGGGGGGAAGACATAGTGGGCCAAGGTAGATTTACACCATTTCTACTGCACTAAGTAAATAGAACTGGGAACTAGTGAAGAATCGACCGGCTAGTTTAACCTTTCCTCTCTTGTTAATTGCAGAGTACTGTTCATCCGATACAACATCCAGCGCTAGTTAGGCCAATATTGGGGGCAAGAGCTTAATGTTGACTCCATGTGGCAATAGCGGGAGACAATAGGCCCCTTTTCCAAAACTGCCCCGAGATCACTGTGCCCTGCGCCATGTTGGTTTTGGCATAAGGTAACGTATGTGCGCCCTCAGCTGAAGACCTCAGTAAAAGAGGGTTATAATATCCCTGTTTCTTCAACTTACAAAGACTTTAAGAATGAGCATGTATTTTAGGCCCTTATCTATCCTCTCGAAGTCTTCATATGCTTTTCTGATGTGTCGCACATGAAACCATTTCCCGCTCAGATGATCCCTAGATGAGCTTGTATATGATTACCAGTTATGAAGATGTGACTGCACATCTACTTATTACAGCACTGAATCAGTTCTACACCACAAGGATGTACATAGTGTGGTTTTACTACGGCTGCATGCGATTACTTACCGTGCCCCACGAGCGCAACTGAGTGCGCACTTGATGCTCCCCATAACCGTGACTAACAAATCCACTGGGTTGATGACGAAGGGGGCTATTTCTTCGAGCAAAGATGTTGGAGGTTTATCAAATAATTTGCGGCGTTCTCTATTTCAAGGGCCTTATAGACACCCTGTGAACTCCGCTAAACTAGTGATTTTACAGTACGTAGGTAGAATTACCACATAAAGAGAAAAAACCAAATTTACCACAACAGTACAACGTAGTATGGTAAATTGCCAGTCGGGGTAGTTAGTTTACGGGTTCTGTACAGACGTGGCATGCAGTAACTGCGAACAACGCATCGAACTGCATGGCTTGAAGGCATAGGCTGGTGTCCAAAGTATGACATAAGATTGGTATAGGATACGATTAAATCTGAGGCATACTCTGCACAGTCGGAGCCTTTTGTAGTGCATCAGAAAGCTCATGGCGACGTAACTGAACCTAGAGGACAATGGGTGTCTAACGGAAAGGATGTGTCAGTGCCGTTGCCTCGCTCCTCTATGCAACGATTTTCTGTATTCTAAATGAGGTAATGGTGTACACGTCAGTTGTTGTTTGTAACGGAGGAATAACGGAAAAATAATGGGGAATACTCCGCGAAAGCGGCACACGAACCGTCAGACTGTTAGCAAACTTACACTATGTGACGGGCAAGAAAGCAAAGCGAAATCACTGCCTTCATTTTATTCTTCAAAGTATTAATAGCACGCGTTAGAGCTGATATGCTGCGAAGCCTAGCTGCTGATCTGCCGGGCAAACAGTCAGAAAAGACGGACTGCAGCCCCTAAACAGGGCACTGTTTTTGCATGACTTTTGTAATTTACTCATGGAATGACAAAAGTTGAGGTCATACTTATTAGAAAGATCTGGTTTTGGCCGGTTCTCCGCTATTTCCTCACGGAATAGATATCGGGGCGGGCCAAACAAGACTGTCCGTTCTCCAAGGATGTGGATGTACAGACAGCTCAGCAATTCGTGTCATTTTTATGGCGCATTGGCAGACTTTAGATTGGCCTGTAAACCTTTTTAGCTGTCTCTCATCTCAACACCTGTTATCTTGGTTTACTTGGAAGCGGAAGAGACCTACAAACGACCGAGCCGTGGCTCCTCCTCACGACTACCTTTCAGGTCTTTCCATTCCCTTTGCATTTTGTCAGGTTTGCTTTGAGTATCTGAGGTTCCTGCGAGAAAAACAACCTGAACCTAGCGAAAAGAGCTGTGGGGACGGGCTTCGGCAAACAGGACACCATTAAGGACCATCTAGCGCGTCCTACTAACTTGACTCTTGTTTCCGTTAGCCGATAATCATCCGCAGTGGAAGCAATGGACATATCCCGTGCAGACGAAGACTGGGGATTGAGTCACCTAAGCCGGGAAGTACTGCCTGAACTTGCACGCGGTTGGAAGGCCTCGGCATTAAGTACCCCCCTCAAGGCTCTCGCAGAAGATGTCCTATACGGCCGCGCATTAAATGGTCAACAACTAGACTTCGTTCGGCTGCAAAGCCAGCTTGAATCCCCTGCGGAAGCTACTGCGGAGGAAAATCCCCCGGTGGAACCTTTCTTAAGGAGGGTGCAATGGGCACGCCTGTTACAGCTGGTGAGAGGCAGTACGGTTGAGGAATGGGCGTCGCAGGTACAGGAGCAGCGACAGCGGTACCGTTCCCTTCGAGAGCAGCAGCAGCTTACCGCTAGCCAGCTAGCCACCTTGGACCCTCAGAGATTTCATCCTCTGGCAGCCACTGCTGGCAACCCCTGGAGTCAGAGACAAGCAGACGAAGAGCTGCAGGAGGAAATCTGGAGGGATATAGAGCGCACGTATCCTGAGAGGGCTTTGTTTACCCAAGACACAACGCGGCGTTCCTTACAGCGGGTCCTGTTCACATGGGCTAAAAGCAACACAGATATCTCTTATAAACAAGGCATGAATGAAATACTGGCCGTCTTACACTTGGCATGCGCCAGAGAGGCCCTATCCGCCTGCCCAGCGGTTGATCCAGGGGATCCATTCTGTATCCTCTTTTCTGCAGACCCAGGAGATATAGAGGCTGATACTTTCAGGCTCTTTGATGGCCTTATGACGGATTGCTGCATGCGGTCCATGTACCTTCCACCACAACAAGATGCCTTACTCCCTGCTGTCAAGGGCGATTTCCTTGGCTCTCTTGGGGCCTCCCAGGGCCCCTCTAGGGGCCCCGCACAGTCTGCTGTCCTTCTAAGGTGCAACCGGCTGTTTAGTGGGCTGCTTGCAAAGGCGGATCCTGCGGTGTACACGCATCTGGAGGGCCTAGGTGTGGAGCCGCAGTTGTTCCTACTGCGGTGGTTGCGACTCCTATTTTCTCGAGAATTTCACATTGAAGATACCCTGCTTATTTGGGATGCTCTCCTGGCGGATGCATGGCTTTCTCAAGAACAGACAGCAACAACACTAGCTGCAGGAGGACCAGCAACAATAACAGCAGGAACACCAGCAGTAGCAAAGAGGAAAGAGGAAGCAGCAGCGACACCGCAGCAGCTCGCTGATGCAGCATCAGCGAAGCTTCCCCTTGTTGACTTTTTTGCAGTTGCCATGCTCAAGTTTATTCGGCAGCATTTGCTGGAGAGCGACTTCAGCAGCTGCCTGCGCCGCCTCCTCAAGTTCCCTCCAATCGAATCGGTGCAGTGCTTAGTTGCTTTATCTTTGGCAGTTAGACAGGGAGGGATTCCTACATTTGCAGGTGATGCTGCTACCTCCATGCGCAGCTGCAACACCAGCAACATCTACAAGTGCACCAGCAGAACTAACCCTGTCACGAAAGGCGGCACGAGTGCTGCGCTAGAGGCTTCTCGGTTTGTTCAGCCGCCGCCCCCTCTCACACGTTCAGTCATTGTAAATACACCTCAGCTGCAGAAGCAGCATCCCCACGCTCAGGAATCACAAAAGAGGAAAGATTGGCAGATGGACAGTTCTTTTAAGTGGAATCTGGATGCTGCTGCCTCTGTCAAACCGTAAGTTGTAGTAGCAGCATCAATCAATCAGAGGGCATTACGGGCGAATATCTAGTCACACAGCACCGTGAATTCAATTTTCTGGTTCTGCTGCTTCAGAGAGGTGCCTCCAGTATCGGGCTTCCTTGGAAGTCATATCGATGCAATGCGCCAGGCCCTGGCTGCCGTGGCTGAAGAGTGCAATGAGTAAGGTAGTGGTTTTTTTGGTGTTGCTGACATGCCTTTGAGCACGTTTTCCCCGTCTGCGATCGTGTTACTGCCGCTGATGTTGCTGGTTTTGACGCTACTGCTGCTGGTATGCAGCGTCCTAGGCAACTACGTGGGGTCCTTTTTGTACGGGTGATGTTCACAGTCTTTCAAACGCGGCCGCTGGTCTCCTTTCATCGGTCTCATCTGATTTAGCGGCTCTTAAGTCAGTTCTGGACGGCTCACAGTACTCAGCCTCAGTCTTCAAACTACAACCTCAGCGGGGCACAGGTATATTTGGAGGAAGTCCTGCGAGTGTTGATGCGTCTGATATCACCAGGATGCCTGGTACAGAAGATGCCTCAGTAATTAATGGGAGCTGCAGTTCTCTTGCACCTTGACAGCAGTGCCAGGGCTCTTTCAATTCTGACTACTTTACTAAAACGTTTTTCGTTTGTCCAGGTGGCTCCAATTTTCCTGTGCCTCATGCTTTGACTACTTTCATTCTCTGCATCTAACTGCATTTGAGCCAAAAGGCTTGCGTTTCCTACTACTCTACCCTTCACACCGTTCCAGCCCGCCAACGGTGCCCTAAGCATGCTTTGTCCTGCCCCGGCTGCCCCACGTTCCTGGTAGGGGTGCGGGTGATCTGTTGATATTGGATGCAAGTCTGTTTAATAGATACTCGTAGTGGCATTAATGAATGTGGGGTCAGTGAGCCAGACAAAAGAACATGTCTGCCAAGACCAAGGCAGGACAATCATGCCTACCTGCGCCCCAATGTAGAGGCACAGACGGACAAGACGGCAGACGTGTCTTGTTGGATGAACGCCGTCATCAAGCTGGCGGTCCTTCACGATGGAAGAAAGGAGGCAGTCAACAGCAAACGGGTCACTTTTTCTGCACCGCGGACACCCTTAATAGCATGCAAAGAACAGATAAACAGTACCTGGAGATCGTTAAGTGCCGGAAAAGACGAATTTGGGGGCCGACGCTATAGTTCCTGTAGGGCAACAGCTTGGGTTAAAGCTGTGCACCTTACAATTGACGCCTTAGTGCCTCTGAAAATAGAAAGTTGCTGCATAGTTGACTACCGGGTCAATGTCCTTAATAGGCACCGTGGGCAGTTCCTCAGCGTGACACATGATCAGACGCTCCTCTCCATCGTACCCACACACAACACAACAAAATTATCGCCTAAGCGTGTTTGAACTACCCACCAGCTGACGTCAGCCCTTCGGGGTTTGCACAAACAATGGGAGGAGATGTACGCGAATCTTCAATACTCGCCGCTGTCATATTGCCGTCCGTCTATGGGTGCCGTCTTTGCCGAGGACCTGAGCAGCAGGTTGTCACACATAATATCTGTAGGTATCTTTTCTACAAAAATACAAGTACCCAGAACTACAGCGTAGCCGGACTTGAGGTCGAGAGAGGCCGACAACGGTGGCGGGAGAGCAGGAGAGGGGAGGTACGTAACCTCTATCTCGGGGCTTAGGCTAACCATAACAGCCGTCAAACGCTCTGGATCACCCATGAGGGGTACGCGAGCTGCGTGGTCACCTAAAGAGTGCATACATCCACGGGGAACGGAATAGAAGAGTTCGTATTCCTCTTTGTGGTTAGAGAAGAAACTTTCAAAAATTCTTAGAAGTTTCTTGCCAAACCAACGTGGTGGAGGACGTTGATCCTCGAGACTCCTTCGATCAGCAGATCCATCCCTCCACCGATAGCGGTCACATGGAGAGATCCATGCAACAGGAATTGCCGTTTCCCCTTGTAAGCTTACCCATGGGGATCGTGAACTTTCACTTCATGCGCTCCTCCACGATTGGCTTTCTAGAGATTGCTATTTCTGTTGGATTTCTTGCTTTTGGAGTAAGTGGTGCATTGGTAGTGGTGCTGCTGCTGTAGCTGGCACGCGTTTCTGTTGTAGTGCTCATGCCATTATTCAAAGAACCGTTGTGGTAGTATAATTAGTTGTACTCTCCTGCAACTGAATTCCTCCGAAGGCTGATGAATGGATCTCTTGATGAATGACTCAAATTAGTGTCGTCGGTATACGGTTGAGAATCTTTGATGTGCATACCCTGTTTCATCCCGCCGGAAGGAGGAAAGGTTGTCAAGTTTGTTTCGCCAAAGGCCATGTAGGGGATGCCGGTGGAGCTAGAGCCGTTCTCTCCAAAGTAACTTCCAAAATTACTGATTTAATTGGTGCGTGCAGTAGTTGTGTTTGCCATGCTGTCGTTCTGGTAGCCGTATTCCGTTGGCGGTGTACTTGTTGAGGTTCTGCAGTTCAACCCGCAGTTGTTGGAGTCACCAAAGTTGTGCGTTGTCCACGAGGTGTAGCTATCCTCCTCGTGAGAGTAATTGCCCTTAAAGGAACCAACGGATCGTCCAGCATAAGAAGGAGGAGTTCAGGTGAAAGTGGCTCCAGCTGCATCGGAGCGGCAGCCCTCCCAAAGGGTGGACCCCAGCACTGCAGCCGCAGTCCTATGAAGCCATATCTTTTTTATCATATAGCCTAAATTAAAATGGTGGAAGGCTACAAGAAACAACTGGGAGCAGTCGGGGCACACTGGAGACATGTGCCACGCCTCACCAGTTGCAAGAAGCCAGCCCAAAAGTAAATACTATAAACAAAACTCCATCGACAGCAGGATATCACAATAAAGCAGTTTATAGTGACTCTGAGATAATCACCTCATCTCTTTCGATTGTGGATGAAGTGCTGCAGCATGCATACACAGCCCCATGTTGCCGCATGCCAAGCGAGCACTCATTCGCTGCCGCATCGATTAATTGCGAGCTAGCAGCGAATGCTGCACGATGTCCATCAAAAGTGTGTAATTTGCTACAAAACTTGATGGAATTGGGGCCTGGATGGTGAGACTACATAATGTGAGGATCTTTATTTTGAAACAGAAGCACCTTCATGGTTATTGCGTGTGCCCAACTCGATATGCTTTCCCTTTCTAGTTGATTTTCCCCTCTCAGTTACATCTAGGATAAGTTCCTTCACGGTGAATAACTACTCATTAGCATGTCTTTATCAGAGCTTGCAGAGGGACATCAGTATACCTGGACCGAGCAAGGCTACGCCCGGGCCATTGCTACTACACTAGCCATTGCAAATTACGATTTGGTAACGAATCGACCAGTTGGGATGCCTGGTCTTCTCCCTTATTCATCCAAGAGTAGTAACTAGTTGTGTTTCTATGCCCCCATCGGGCAATAATCGTGTCTTATGAACAAGCGAATCTATCGTGTAGTGATACCTATTGAACTTGAGGATTCCTCATCCGCATTCAGAATCCTCTGCAGCACGAGCCGCCATGGACTCTCTCCGAGGTATCTTCACTTCCACAAATTTTTGCACTAGAAGCTACCTACAACTAACTGTGAATGCTCACAGTGCTTGGAGAGTGCAGCAATACTCATCCTGACTATCCATATCCCCCCAACGAGGGATATCTAATCAATCCACGGGAACAGCACTTTTGAGTAACCCTAAATCTTCCTGAATT